TATTCTTGCCCAGTCAAAGAAATCACACATTGTGCCAAATTTTGTTCTTGCTCACGCACATAAATGCCATATAAAGCTTTCATCAGTCTGACAACTGCAGCAATGGCATTGGATTCCATTCAAAGTAAATCTTAATCTTCAATCTACAGAACATAATACACATAAAAAAGCTAATGCGGCCAATTTACCTGTGTACATCAGAGACAATAATTAGCGACAGTTGTGCTCAAATAGGCAATTAGCTAATTGTTTATATACTGCTGACGTCAGATCTGAGTTGTCTTTCCAAACATAATTGGGAAACAATGCTGTGGTCTCAGTTTTTCTGCATATAATGAGCAGAAAGCCAATACCAATGAAAAAAAAAGGTGTTGAAAAAATATAAAGTAAAGTATTATGGCAAATCTTCCAAGTGTACTGGTGGTCCAGCTTAAGTGCTCCAGGTTGCACAAGGTGGTCCAAGTGTAAAAACAAGGAAGTGCACCTGCCCTTCTCCATCCATCCACATCTCATCTACACAACTTCTTCCCCTCGTGTAAATCTTTCCCCTCCTCCCCGTCGATCATTCTCCTCAGGCTACTGTGTCTATAATGAGCATTTCCTCCTACCCCCCCTCGTCAACTATTCTCTCACTTTCTCCCCCCTCCTCTCCTGTCCTCCCCTTCTCACTGTGTGCAGAATTGGAGAAGCTTATCGCCTAGCAACCACAATTAAAGTACAACAAGTCAGTGGAGGTAGCAGCAACCATCGGCATAAGCTTCACAAACCTTCGTGTGACCAACGGCTTTAGACAAAAAGAGAGGAAAATAGAGAGTGAGATAGGGAGTGGGGGAAACGGAGCAAAAGAGTTGAAGTTGGACAGGTGATCCGCAAACACCGCCACTACAGTGGGGACTTTGGGTTTTGAACACAAGAGAGAAAAAGAAGACAGGGAGAGTGGAGTAACATTCTCCGACTGGGCTCCCTTGCTGGACTCGACAGGTATGTGTGTATGCTGGAATAAGTGGATGAAAAGTGAAGGTATTTAACAGCAAATATGATGGTGGTTTTGTGTGTGTTTGCATGCATTACTGCTTGTGTATTTTTTCTTTTGCTCGAGAGTAAGTATTTGAAGAAAGCCATGTTAAGCGGATTATTCTTTTGAGGCAATTGGCAAGAATACAGCATATATTGTCAGTGTAATTTCACAGCTGTGAGGGAATGCCAGTTTGGTTTTTTTGTACCTGCTGTAAAGGTATGCGTTGACACACCTGCTTCCACACACATACACACTTCAGTAATAAATCTGTGGGTAAAACTGGACACTGATGAATGATTTGAGGATCGACTAATTAACTGATTCATATGTATTTATTATTAGACCTATGTTAGAGTATTTGGTAACTCTTTTTTCATGATTTTTAAAATTAGTTTGCACATAATTTGCAATTTGTCCTACACTTGGTGTGTAAAGCGAGCTAATTCTCTCACTTATGTTCCCCACCGTCATTAAAGTAATTGACTTAGGTGTTATGTCTCCTGCTACAATTGTCTTTGGAAGCATGTTTTTTGGAGGGCTCAGGGGCATTTAAGGACGTTGCAGTGACAGAAATGACAGATGATGCAAGATGCATGGAGAGGGAAAGGTTTTGTATGAACAGCTAAGAATGCATATGAACTGTTAGTCCTGATTTGAATTTTAATCTTATTTATGTATGATTGTTAGTGATGCTTTCTGTAGGCACAGGTGGATAAAGGTGAGAGGGTCCAGATGGCAGGTTGCATGAACTCTGTAAACCACAATTGTAAGAGGCTGGTGTACTATACTTACAGGCACTATATCATTTGATGCCATTAATTTGATGAATGTTCACATATACAGGAGGTAGGCTGATTGATTAACGATAAAATCCACATGGAAACAGCATTTTAATTGGTGTTTGCTTCCATAGCTCCACACTGTATATTTTTCTTTCTGACAGAGGATACTATGCACAACACACTGTCATATGGGGAACGCTGGTATAATTGTGTTTCTAGCATTCATAAACTTCAGGTTCTTCAAAATAAATCCTAATCAGCCTCCAGGATGCAGTTATGCTGTAAAGATGCTATTATTTTGAACAATTCGAAAAAATATGTTTTTTTGTCATAGTGAATACCCAAATAATTACCATAAATTTACTGAACAATGCTGTTAATCATGTGAGTGAAATTCTGAAGTTGCCCATTTTTTATGAGAAGAGACAGAGGCTGTAATTTCTTAAAACTCAGTGATGATAATATCAAATTATACTGGTTCATGTTATGATAGGTAATGATCTGAAAATATCTCAGATCATATATAATAATATAATATAATATCTATATAAATATATTTATTGTTACTTTAAAGGTCCAGTGTGTAACATTTTTGAGTATCTATCGGCAGAAATGGAATGTAATATTCATATGTATGTTTTCATTTTTGTGTAATCACCGTCTTTATGTATCTGTGGTCCTCTTCGATGGATGCAGCCATGTTTGTACAATAGCCCAGAATGGACAAATCAAATGATGGCTCAAGATAGGGATTTTTGCAGTCTTTGGGTATTTCGCAGCCACTGTAGTGTGTTTTGTTTGCACTTGGTTGAGTCAAGGGGTTTCAGTTGGTTACAATCTGCTATCTCGCTGCCACTAAATCCTACACACTGGTCCCTTAACTGATGGTATACTTTTCCATTCACTTATCTAGTCAAGCGGCAATAATTGATACAGTATTTTTATAATAACAATGTATCAAATGACACTGTGAAAGGTGTTGCTCATAGTAATGAGAATTATCACTTGAAACTGCAGCTCCCTGGGGCTTTATAGTGAGTTTCTGTAGTAATAGTATTCCTGTAGACAATTTAGTTTCTGCCTTTAAGAAATGAAGTCTCAGTCTGCTTATTCATGCTCTGATGCAGTAATTAATTCAGCCTGAAAGGTGGCTCTAAAATAGTCCTCCTTCACCCCCCACAGACCTATCTTTCAGATGAAGGACACCCACCTGCCCTCATCCCCATGGCAGAGTGCCACTACCTGGGCACTGTGGGGGAGCTGGGAGGTGAAAGGTCAGTCACTCTGTATGGGCCCCATCAGGATCATATCCAGACTTATACGCACATAGAAGTCAATTGCTGGTCAAAATGTCACTGCACTGCACACATAAAAGCACACACACTCAAACCGCCAGAGTAGAGGAGTCTCTTGCTGGTCAAAATGTCATTGCACTGCTTATATAAAAGCCACACACACACACACATGCACACATGCACACTCAAAACAACAGTACCCTCTGATGTTCAGTTTCAGATTCAAAGGGAGGGAATGCCTTTTCCCCACTTCTTTTTTAAGCATGCACTCGCAGCACTGTACCACTCAAACGCTTTCACAGAGGGTCATAGAAAAGGAGCTGGTAGATGTACATTAATGGCTCCAGTGTTAAAAATTAAGTTTAAATTGGAGACATCAGGCCCTAACTTCATGGCAGTGCAAGAACCAACACAAGCAGCGCTGAGTGAGTTGATGTAATGTGATTTAAGGGTTTAAAACCTTTTTGCACATAGATATTCTTCACTAGTGCATTTTTAGTATGAATATCACTGGTTTTTAAATTGATCGACTTCATTGTGAGGGGCCAGTCACCACCTCTACACAAGTACTCACCCTAGGTTATGGCACAGAGAATAGTTACATCAGATTTTCATAAGGCTTACTGGTAAGCGCAATTGGCTACACTGGGTTACAAGCACATTGTGCTGTCAAATGGCCCAAATTGGCCCACTCCCTAAGGGGTCCAGATGCTCCATTGAGTCCCAAGGTGCTACCGGGGATGGAGCATGGCAGGGGGTGGGAATGGCTTAGATAAACACCCCTTCCTCTTATAAAGAGCCTGAATTAGCCTCCCTGCCAAAGATGAAAATGCAAAACAGCACCAGAATTTCACTCCAAAAATGTCTCCAGCCTAAGGCCAGTTGTGTGTGCATATGCAGGTTCAGTGTCTGTGTCTTTTGTATGCCCTTCTGTCTGTCTCAGCATGTGTCACCACTGAGAGCTACACACCTCCAGAAGATGCAGACAGCAGGGGGATATTATGTGTGTGTGACTGCACCTTTGTGTATACTTGTGTTTTTGTGTCAATGTGTGTGCCTAATAAGTTGGATCTGCCGGAGGGAGGTAACCAAACGTCCCCTGTTGAGCAGAGCTGGCAGGAAGTACTGATTTTGCACAGTTTCTGAACTTAGTTGACTTCATCATCAGGGAAATGGCTTTTAAATTCCCTCTCTCCTCTCGCCTCTTCTCACTCTCACCTTTTCTCTCCTAAACATGCCAATGCGCTTGCACACAGATGATTTTGATAAATGCATATGAATAAAGTAAATCCACTGGATAAGTGTAGCCAGGGAGCTAATTACTTTTCACTGGAGACAAGGTCATTACCCATGTAATTGGCTCTTATGGGGTGGCATTGATCACTTGATTGGTGATGCCTTGAAGGTAAATGTCCAGATTAGGGAGAGGGTTGAGACATACATTAACTGTAGGTCACCTCAACTGTAATAAACCAAACTCAATTAAGGGAAACAGCAAGAGATCTCTGTCTTTGTGTTTGTGTAATTTGATTGTTTTATTAGGTTAATTAACTTGCTGATGCTTTGAATACGGGGCAGTACATTTTGTGCAGAACTAAATGTTTGTATTTGTCACAGGCTTTTCTGCCTGCAATATGCTGTTACTGCCGTCAGCTATCAGCATGCAGATATTTGTTAGGTAACTGGATGAAGCCATCTGTTTCTGCAAGACAGCCAAGCTGACACAAATGTAACAAAATATAATAGCTCTATGTATTGTATGTACCTGTATGCTAAATATGCCCTCTCACGCACCCGATGGTTTTACAGCTTGCTCTGTATAAGTGAGTACTTAAGCATGGAGAGCCACAATATGCTTGTCTTTGGTGGTGATTGTAATGTCTGTTTTTCTTCTCTCATTTCCAGAGTCTGGGCTCGGCTGACAGAAAGGAGAATCAGCATAAGAAGTAAGTCCCTAGTTTCCCTTCTTAATTTTATTTCAGGAGAACAGCAAAAGACACCACAGATGTGGTTGAAAAATCAATGGCGCCCAGAGACTTAACACCAGTCTTAATACTAATCTTAAGTCATGTAAGGCACATGTGTTGCCATGAATGCATTAATTGGCTTACTGACCTCATTAGCATAACTGATTAAGTCATTATGGTTAAAGAAGCAGCTTTATTCTAAATAGTTACTAGGTAGCCTAATTCCTTAAAAGAAATTGACCTGGTTTATCTGTGTTTAGATGCCAGTGAATTCCTTTGTGTGTGCATGTGTGTGTGTTAAGTCTAGCCTGACCCATAATCCATTCCATAATAGTAATACTTCTCATTCCAGTTTTTCAGTATGGCAGTGTTTGGATCAATCAGAATGGAAATCTGCCTTAATTTGTCACAGGGAACAAAAGCACTCAGGTTTTGTACAGAAATGATGGCAGAAAGCTAGTAATTCTTTGAAAGGAGAGCTGTGTTGTATTTTCCAGTATCTGAGAGTACCTCTGCCAAGTGATACCTTGTTAATGACATCTTCTGTGGCTTTGCGATTCACACCTTGGACATTTTTGCTGTGGGACAACAGACACTGTTTTATCTTAGCTAGAATCTTAGATTGCTGAATCAACATAACAGTGGGAGAAGATTTATTTCCACAGTTTTATACTCTCTTTTTTCTAATCTGCTGTCATTAGATTTGCCCATTACTGGTATTTGCTGTTAGTGCAAATTCATCACTGACTCTATGAACAAACAAATCATTACTGTGAATATATTCTCTCAGTCGCTCAGTAACCATTGGCTTTGCTAATTACACCATTTCCTACTGTACTATGTTGGGGACAAGAATTGGACCAAAAACAAGCATTTTAATGGGAAAAATCCAATTTTTGCATGTCTGAGATCAGTATGTAAAAAATATAGACACTAACCCAACATTTTTCAAGGTGTTCTGCAGATTGCTGTCAGACGATAGTGGGCACATAGTGAAAGACAAGTAGGGCGGGAACTTAAATCAGACTAAATTAGCTGTATATTTTAGTTGCCCAGCAACCAAAGCCATGGACACCCATACTTCACAACATATCTCTCTGCTGTCTGTTCCTTCCTATCAGCAGTGCAGGCAGCATGGTTTGTGCACCTATAGTTTCTCTGTGTGAATGGATACTTAAAATGACCATGGAGGTGGTTATCCAATTTTTTTCTCTTTATCCCAATTAGACAATTAACCCATTAGAAGGGTCCCTGCTTGCTGTCTTCCTTTGAAAGCTTTGAATTGCAGGCACAATGAGTGAGTAGTAATTGTGACAGTTAGGTACTCTTGAAACCATTAATTGTTTATCTTTGCACAAGCAGTCTCACGTGTGATCTGTGTTCTAAAATTTTCCGCTGCACATTTGAACTGTCTATGCTCGCATGGTTTCATAGCAACAAGCCGTTGCCATCTAAACATGGAGGATTGAATGGGTGTGTATACAGTTTATGTGTGATGTCCTTAAGACACCCAGCTGAATTTTTCCTGGATCTTTAACAAACAAATAATGAGAGCTCCCTGATACCTCACCTTACGGAGCTGGTTCACCATGTCCCAGGGTTGGGTCCTTACTGCAACGGCCATGGGTTTGAGTCCAACCCTAGTCCTAACCCTTACCCTAACCCTTTGCTGTGTGTCGTTCCGTCTCTTTCACACCCTTTCCTGTCTATCTTGAGATGTCCTGTCGATTAAAGGTAAAAAGTCCCCCAAAAATATATTTTTTTAACTAAACAAAAAGAAAAACAAAAATGGAAGTACAAATGTAAATCAGACTGAATGAAAGAAAAGTTCACTTGTCAACTGAAAATGTTTCCCAGTAGTGGAAGTCACAATCGTTGGTCTGTCTGCAAGTGTATGCTGTGTGTTTGAGGCTGAAGCCACTGTTAGTGGGACATATGCTGCATTATAGATGTATAGGCTTTTTTGTCTTATCTGTCAGATGCTGGCACAGTGAGCACTGACTCTGCCAGAGTGGGACACATCTGTTGCCAGGAGACAAGCAGCTGTATTTATGAACCAGTGGAATCATCATGGAATGTCAAGTAACAGGAGTGTTCAGTATACTCTGCCATGCGTTTATTAATGCCAGCAGAAACATGCGAATGAGCATCAATTAACATTTACAGAAGGGTAAACGTGTGCACACACCTATAGGCATTTCTTCTTCACAGTGTGTGTGTTGTTTGTAGCTGAGTGTTAGTCTGTGTTCTTTAATACCCCCTCTGTGTTCTCTCTTCCTCCACCTCTCTGTTCTGGCTCCTATTCTGCATTCTGATTTTTTTTTCCTATTGGAAAGATGATTAGTAGTTTTGAAGGTATATTCTATCAATATTATGTTGATAGCATTTAGCCTAAAAATATAAAGTATTTGCTTATTTCTGTCAAAAGAGGCTATCTTTGGGTATCTTTCATTCATTAATTTATTCTCTCACTCTTGACCAACATGGCAAGAATTGGATTTGTTTCCCTTCTTACCTTCAGGTAGAATATAGCTAAAGTCTGGCTCATCGTTCCTCCACATGGAGATGATTATTCACGCTTTTGTCCCACTTGGACCACTACTGCAACTCTCTTTTTATGTGCCTTAGCAGGTAATCACTGGATCATTTACAAGTGGTTCAGACTGCCTCTTTGTAAGATAACCAGGTGTGCTAGACAGTCTCATGTTACATCTATTTCAACTTCTTTATGCCCACCAAACTCAGGGGCAGGGAGGATTCCTGCACAGAGCAGGACAAAAGATGCAACCAGTTTCTAACACAGATGCACAGAAAAAAAGATTAACTATTGAATTAGTTGTTATTATTTAGGCTTATATTTGTAATTTAAAAAAAAAAATTTTTACTGCACTTTGAGCTCACAGAAGCCAATGTAAGAAAACGTTCCTTTCTAAACATAACTTTCCTTTCCTACTATGCTGGGTGAGGACAGTACACAGAGGAAGGAATAATGGAAGGATGGGTTACTGGGTGTCCTGGAGGCTGGGGGATGCTTTGCTTTTTTCATGGAGCAAGGGATTTAGGTACGGATGTCAAGGAAGAGAGAACATGATTAAACTAATTTATTCACGGGAGCAGGCCATGTAATTGTTCTCATATGTGGCTGACGTAGGAGTGTGTGTGTGTGTGTGTGAGAGTGATAGAGATGGAATAACTTAGGTGAGTAAGAAGGGATATTTGTTCTCCAGCAATGTGCCTGACTTACTTTTGTTTAGATAATAAAATCATATTCTAATATAGTGTAATTTCTCAGTTCAGTAAAATAACTGTAGAGATCCTCTCATAGGGAAAATGTTGTATACACCTTATTATCCAAAGCGAGTGTGATCAAATAGATAAAGAATGACCGAATGGAACAATATGCATACCACATAAAAAACAACTTTAAAGAAAAGCTTTTGTGTTGCCTGCTACTTAAGGTAATAAGTCAATCAGGCGCTCTTTTTCCTTTCAAATTTACATTTACCCAATAAAAGACATCTTTGAAGAGGACTATTTTAAAATATCTACAATAATGGATTTCCTGTCAAGGAAACAACTTTTAAGTAGAGGATAGCTGATACTCCATGACCTCTGTGTTGCTGAGATAACCACCAGACATTCCTTTCACTCTGAAAACACTATTGCTCAGACCCTGCTGTTGTTTTACTGCCACGCTGCCTACAGTTAAAGGACTTTTCCTCCCAGCAGTGGCTGCTTGTTGCCGTGGTTACAGGTGACATAGGAGCCAAGGCCCTGCAGCATTTACATAACGGCACAATGTTGATAAGATCACAGGTTTTATGAATTTCATTCAGCGTACAGTACACAAAGTCCTGAACAGGGCTGATCAAATGCGGTGGTTTTTGTCTCGGATCAGAGGACAGGACATGAGAGGGAGAAAGAAATCAGTTATCTGCAGTATAAATATCTTGAGCTACGTCCTTTGCAAACTAATGTAAAAAGAAGAATAGTTATATTCAGAAAAGAAATTGTAATGTAATTAACTGTCAATATCTTTGTCATTGAATTTAGTGAGTTGCCTTGGCTGTGTGTCTTTCTATCCCCGCTTTTTGCATCAGTTGGAAATAAGCAGAGAGAAGAAAGAAGACAGCAGAAAGTGACAAACAGAGAGAATACCCACCGCATTACTCTCATCTCATCCCCCAGAGGGACAATCCAAGGCAAATTCTAGCAGAAAGATAATAAGGACTGAGGGTTCCCGCTGTCTGTGAAACACATTCCTTCATTTTTCCAACCGTTTTTTCTTTTCACCTCATTTTTTTCCATGGTTTTGAAATCCTAGTGTAAATACATATTGAGGAGTATTTACAATAGTGGTAATGGTGGTAGGAGAGGGAGCTAAGTCAGCGGACCAGAGGAGTCTGCCGCTGGCTCACTATCTTAGTGTGTGACTATTTGTACAGTTGATCTAGAGTGTATTAGTACACACGTGTTCTCAACGGTAAAGTTAATCTGTACACATACTGTTGATCCAGTGTGTGTATCACAAATATGATGATTGTATACTTGTGTGAATGTTAGCAGCCTTCATCCCTCTATCTGTGTGTGTGTATGTGTGTGTATGTGTGTGTGTGTGTGTGTGTGTGTGTGTGTGTGTGTGTGTGTGTGTGTGTATGTGAGGGTGCTTATTTGATGTGGCTTGGCTGCATTGATGTTGAGTTGTTTGAGAACTTCCCAAGAGCAAGCTGCCAGGCCAAAGAACTGAGCAGGCAGAGACAGCCATTGTTTTGGTAAGGCATCCTGGCCATAATTGTGTGTGTGTGTGTGTGTGTGTGTGTGTGTGTGTGTGTGTGTGTGTGTGTGTGTGTGTGCTTGTATGAGAGAGAGAGAGAGAGCTTAATTTAGAATACTTGAATAGCAGCAGTGCATAGCGTTTTCTATTCTTGCTTTAAATATAAAAGCATGCACACACACGCACACATGTAACAACATAACAT